AACTCGATGGCTCCTGACAACAAGCCCATAGTATATTCAGTATTCTCTGGTAGCCCATAGTATATTCAATGTTTTTTGCCAACAGCACAATTTAAAGACATCAGTTCTTCTTCGGTCTTCCTTATTCATATAAACATGAGGCAAGTGAACATACTTCTGGAATTTGCACTTAAATGTACAGTAGTCAAAGTGTAAGGAAGAAATGATGAAATTAAAGGACTGAACAGTATCAAAGAGTGAGTGGCTTAAGAAGACAAAAAGTATTAAAATGAAATGTACAAAGACTTGAAGTTAGAAAACCAAAAGGGAAGAACATGCTAGGCATTTCTCAAGCTGAAAAACTGAAAAAAAAAAAAGAAAAAATCCAAACCTCAAGTTGCAATATTAAAGGATTCAATGAATACAGTGGCTCCATAGAATAAGCATTGGACTGTGAACCACAAGGTTGGTGGTTCGAGCCCATCAGCCACTCTGCAGGAGAAAGATGGAACTTTGTGTTCCCACAAAGATTTCAAAAGCCTCGGAAACACTGTAAAGGGTCCATATGAATAGAAACCAGCTCCATGACATTTCACAACAACAAAAACAAATGGGCAACAAATTGAATGATATAGGTAACATCAAGAGAAGATGGCAAGAATACACATAGCCACTCTACCAAAAATAGTCAATGTTCTACTATTTCAGAAGGCAGCATATGATCAAGAACCGATGGTACTGAAGGAAGACATCCAAGCTATACTGAAGGTATTGTGAAAAACAAGGCTCCAGGAATTGACGCAATACCAATTGTAATGTTTCTAAACAGATGTAATTCTGGAAGCACTCACTTATCTACATCAAGAGATTTGAAAGAGAACAAATTGGCCAACTGACTGGAAGACAGCAATATATGTCCCTATTCCAAAGAAAGATGACACAATGGAATACGGAAATTATAAACCAGTATCAGTAGTATCACACATGTATAAAAGTTTATGCTACAGATAATTAAAAAAATGATTGCAGCAGTATATTGATAATAAATTGTCAAAAATTCAAGCCGGATTCAGAAGAAGACATGGAATGAAAGATAATCATTGCTAATGCCTGACAGAAAGGAGGTCACAAATACAGCAAGGTAACTTCTAAACAAATGAAAGTATGGAGCTACTTTAACAACAAGCCTGACATTCATGCAGTCAAAACATTAAAGAGGATACAAAGTAAAATAAATATATCATCTCATCTTTGTCTTGGAACTCATGTGAAAATTCCATGAACCAGAGTGACTCAGAACAATAAAAAGTTATTTCCATGGCTGAAATGGTCTTAATGGTGTAATAAATACATCCAGTGACCTCTTTCACAGCTGAATAGGTTTTCCTACGTGGAATCGTTGCTATAGCATAAAAAAGGAGCAAACCAAAATCATCCCAGACTTGTTGGGTTACAGTGGACCCCTGGTAACATGTAGCTGCTTCCTTCTGGCTTCTTTGCCTCTGTGTCCATAGAAAAGACACCAAGTTTGGAGAGAGAAAATGAGAAATGACCTACTGCTCTTTTTGTTACCATTATGAATGCTACTGCTTCTATTATGACTTAACATTTCAAAGGTAATTAGGAATTCATCAATAACATAGTTTTTTTTTTTAATAACATAGAATTTTGACTGAAAAACTTATACGTAACATTTGTGCTCAGGGAAATGTATTTAACTTTTAAGAGCTTAAGGAGAACAGGAGTAAGGAGGGCACTATGTCAGTTTCGGAAACATTGCATCTTTAAAA